CTTCTTTTGTCCCATCTCTCATGTGATGGAGGACTAGGCATTGATCCGAGGCGCTCTTGATCGATATCGAAACATAATGTAGCCCCTTTTGGGCTAATCCAGTGAATTGTGCCATTCCAAAGCACCCCATTTTCAAACACCATGTCCGATGGAACAACAAAAGGAGAGCCAGATAGCCTCCAAGTTCCAGTCTCAGATGAGTATATCTCAATCTGGTAATTACCGTATGCTGTTGATGACGAAGAGCAATTTTGAACGCAGATAACTTGGTAGTGAGGTGACTTAGAGGGATCGAAGGCCAAATTAACACAGAAAATGGTTGTGCACGAATCGCAGCCATCCGCATTAGGTGGAGGAAGCATCAAGAATTGCCTTGTTGAAGGGTTGCAGACATAATAGCTGCGGCGTTTCCCCGGTTCGTGATAGCTACAGCACAAGACCAGGCCATTGATGGACTGCAAGACTTTAACACCGGCTGAGTCACCGATGAAGTTGAGAGACGTAAAGGGTTGCTCAGAATTTCTGCAATGGTGAGACAGGTGACCAATGAGACCGGGAGTTGGACACAAGATGATGCCTGCAGAGGCAAGACTGCGATGGCGGGTACTGAATTGTGGATTGGAGATGAGATAGAGCCAATTCTTGGAGACACATTTGAATCGGAGAAGAGACTTAACGGGCAGGCGGATGAGGATCAGCGTGATGAGGTCTTGGTTGCAAGCTATTTCCTCTGCTGCCGGGAAAGGATCACTGAGAAAGTTGCTGATGGGACAGAGAGACGCCATTTTTCTGTTTTCAGAATGATCAGATCTCATCAATACTAGTTAACAGTGCATTAGTTTGCATTGGCCGCATGTGCAAGAATTGGCTCAGGATCCAACTTTCCTATCCAAACTCACCAACAAATTCTTATTCTCTCATTGGCTGTCTCTCTTCTTCATTTTGTACATTGTGAATTTAATTTTGCACCAAAAAAAAAAAAGAAAAAAAAAAGTGGGGACTGAATTAAATTCAGCAAACTTGGTTGTTGGTTCCATTAACTTCTAATTGTGGCTGGAGTGACCATGTAAGTCCACAAGACGCATGTGAAGAGTACTATATACATCAACTTGGCAAATATTGTTTGTCCCAGAAAATATCATTGGGAATAAATAAATAAATATTGATTCTAACTCTGTCGGGAGTGGTTCGCAGGTGCAAGGAGGTGCAACCGGAAAACTCATAAAAGCTATTGGAGTTGCACCTCTGCTCAGACCAGAGACGCACGCAACCTGTTCCATGAAATGCGCAAACGACCTGGTCGTTGCGCTACTGTCTACTGCGCGTGCCTCTTTTTTTTAATGAAGCCTAGCCAAAACAACGTCGTTTTTTACCAGTGTTTAAAATAATTTTAAAAAAAAGAAAAAAAAAAGGAAACAGCTGGGTCATTTCGTGGGCTTTTAAAAGGGCTTCTATAGGGTTTTAATTGGGTTTTTATAATTCCTTACTTAATTGGAGTTCTCTTTATTTAATTGGGTTTTGGGAATTCTCTTTATAAAGGACCAATTTAACATCACCCAATTTCATCAAAGTGTGTGTGCATCACAAGAATCCTGCGTTTTTTTTCCTTCTTGAGTACGCCAATCCAAAGTAAGTTATATGCATATATTTTTTTTCTTGAGCAAACACCAATTTTGTTTATTCTTTTTTTAATAATAATTTTTTCTTATTTAGCTCTCTTTGTATTAGTAAGAGACTACTCTCAAATGTCCTTGTTGTTTACATTGAGAAATATGTTTTTTTTTTTGTATTAGTAATGCAAATATAATGTGACGTTTTCATGATAAGAAACCTCGTCGGCAACAATTGTAGGTTAATTGTAATGTTATTTTTTTTCAATTAATTATGAATAACATTAGTATTGTTTAAATTATAAGGATGTTTAATTGTCTTTTTTTTTTTGAGCTCTTAGCTTTTAAAAATTGCACTTCCGCTGAAAAATTCATGGGTCCGCTGCTGTTTGTAGGAGTTGAGTTTAATCTATATCAAATTACGATTGTCAAGCTCAATCCTTTCACAATACATCACAATATCGCAAATCTCTCCATGGTTCTCCCCAACACACGTGATTACAAATTGTTGTTTTTCTAATAGCATTATTGGTAAACAATAATGTCACCTAATGTAGAAGAAAACTGTCATTTATCATCTAGTTAAGATGGGAAACCTTAACTAATTTTTTATTTTATTTTATTGTCAAAGTTAGGAATATGGAGGAGGTTTTCTCACACACACTTGCTAAGTTGCCATGGGAGTTTGAACCTGACACCATTGATGTGCAATATAAGACCATTATTTTTCATTGGGCTAGACCCTATTAGCAAACCTTAACTAGTTTCAACCCAAGGTTCTTTTTCTTTCACCCTCTCTCTAGCCTCATCCACAATTGCAAAGACATGCTATTGCGGGATTGAGAGTGTTCCATTTCTCATATTTATAAAGAACAAAACATTGCTGCTGACCATATGGCACATATTGGTCAAAGCTCCAATTTGGGTTATCATGTTGATCTTCCCCCTCCTTCTATTGTAAGCCTCTTGGCAAATGACTCTGTTAGGATGACCACTACTAGGCTTGTCCCAGTGTAGTTTTCTTTTTGGTTTTTTCTTGGGCTTCGGCCCTCCTTGTAACCTGAAAAAAAAAAAAAAAAAAAAAAGGTTCTTTTTCTTTCCTTTTGATAACATCGACTCAAGGTGTTGGGATTCCCTCCTTAGAGCATCTCCAACCTTGGCACAAGACTGGGCAAAAGGCCCCCCAAGGCAGCCCAAAGGCGCTCCAGCGGAAGAAGAATGGCCCGGGCAAATGGTGGGTCCCATCAAACTGGGCAAGCCCACGGCAGATCTTGCCTGGGCAGCAGCCGGCGCTGACGTCAGTGAGCGGTAAGTTCAAATTTTTTTATCGTTGGCGCGTGAATTTCACGCGCCAACGGTAAAAAAATTTGACTTTCGCTCGCTGACGTCAGCACCTGACAGGGCCCAACGGAAAAATGCCACATGGCGCTTCCTGGGCGCTGCGATGGCTTTTTTCACAGAAATCTGACCGCCCTCTTTTTTTTGGCCAAAAAAATTCCAAAAAAAGTCAAAATTTTTTTTAAAAAATACAAAAAAATACTGTATTTTTTCCCTATAAATACCTATCAATTTTACTCACTTTCCACACCAAATATTCATACACACTCTTCTCCTTCAAATATTTTTTACATTTCACTCACATTTTTCTACTAGTTTCCATTTGCAAATGGCCTCTTCTGTCGAAGCCGGAGGCGCTTGGACTACTGTGGAAGATATTGTGTTGTGTGAGTCTTGGGTGAAAGTTAGTCATTGTCATATAACAGGCAATGAGATGAAGTTTTCTCATATGTGGAGAAAAATTCATGAAGAATTTGCAGCTAGATCCGGTTCGACTCGGACTGAAATGGCCTTGCAATCCAGGTGGAAAATTTTGAATAAAGAGTTAGGGAAATGGAGGGATGCCTTGACAAAAGCGAGGGACAACATGAGAAGCGGTCAAAATCTTACTGATGAGGTAAAATATTTATAATTCTCGTTTTATTCAATTGAACATAACTTTTTTTCTTGCATATTAAATTTATATTTTCTTGCATTTCTAATTTATTTATATTTTGTTGCATAATAATTTTTTTGCATGCATTTGTAAATTGTTTATATTGTCTTACATATTTATTTTTTTGTTGCATAATCATTTTAGTTCTTGCATTTCTAAATTGTTTATATTTTGTTGCATAATCAATTTTTTTCTTGCAATTCCAAATTATTTATATTTTCTTCCATATTCATTTTTTGGTTGCATTTCCAATTATTTATTTTGAATAGATCATACAAGCACAAATGTGGTTCGGTGCCACGGGGCAAGGCAAAAAAAGTTTCCAAAGTCACCAATGTTGGGAAATTGTGAAGAATTGTTCGAGATTCAAAATCATTTGCACTGTTCCGGAGGTTGTGTTGAATGAGACGCCGCTCCACGATTCGTCGACAACCGATTCGCCATTGGACTCCCCAATGGATCAAGACTCACCACTCCCACGTGCGCCAAGACCTATTGGGAGAAAGGCGGCAAAGGCAAAGAAAGGGAGCACTTCGAACAATGAATGTGCACAATTTTTGGAGCAAATGGCTAAGAATAGTGCACTGAGACTTGAGAGAGAGTTGAAAAGAGAAGAAGTGGACAGGGCACGACATGAAGCATTTTCAATTCAAAGGGCGAAGGCAGAAGAACAAGACATGGAGGATAGAGAGATGAAAATCATGGCCATGGATACCACCCATATGTCTCCTGACACAAAGTCATACTGGAAAATGAAACGAAGGGATGTGATGAGAAGAAAACTTTTTCATGATGACGGACCTAGCAATACGGATTGGTTAAATGATGGAAACCATTAGGTTGGATTAAAATATTTGTCATGTATTAAGAATTGTTGTATTATTTCCCTTTTATTCAATAAAGAAAGCATTAAGAGGAATTCTCTTGGGATAATTTTTTATTAAAATCTGAGATGATGAAAAACGTTTACCAAATCTGTGTAAATACACATCTCTCAACCCTTGAGCTGCTAGGGAAGTTATTACATTAAAACTGAAAAACAGAATTTATTCCGAAAATTAACTACGAAACTTTGAATGCGGTTTTGGAAGGCCAAACGACCTCAGAATGCCAAAATCCATCATACATCACGGCAGAGCCGTGAGTTTGACTCGTGGCGTCGTTCCCTTTTTCTAGCTCAACCGCGATAAAATCTGTCATTTGTTCTACATCAGAATATGTATTAAAAATATTTGCAAATGAAAACAAAGTTTAATTAAAAACAAACCTTATTTTATTGCAAACAACACACAAATAAAGCATAATTAAGAACAAAACATAATTAAAAACAAAACATAATTCCAAACACACCACACACAAAATAAAGCAATCTTAAAAACAAAGCATTAATCTTGTCTTCATCCATTGTGATTGCCTTTCATCTCCCACAAGTGCTCGATCAAGTCAATATGACGCCTCTCATGAACATATGAAGATTGCATTTCTTGGTAACGATCAATCATGGGGTTGTTGAATCGACCATCCCGAAGTAACGGTTCGTGCTCCAATGGATGTCCATTTGGTCCCATCGGCCTTTCATAAATTCTTGTCAATGACGTGTTCATGGGATCCGGTTCAAACTCCTCTGTAGCTTCATAATCATACTCATCCTCCACAATCATGTTATGGAGGATGATGCAAGTCATCATAATGCTCCGCAGCACCTCCTCATCTAACATCCGAGCAGCGCTCCTAATAATAGCCCAACGAGCTTGCAAGATACCGAAACACCTTTCCATGTCTTTCCTGTAACCTTCTTGAAAGGCAACAAAGCTTTTTTCCTTCTGGGATTGAGGATTCGGAATTGTTTTCACGAATGTCGTCCACCTAGGATAAATTCCGTCGGCAAGGTAGTACGCACCAGAGTATACAGTGTTGTTGATTTGGTACGTGATCTGGGGGGAATGACCTCGCAATACATCATTGAATACTGGGGATTGACCAAGCACATTGAGGTCATTCTGAGATCCGGCAACTCCGAAGT